AAAACGTAAGTTGCAATTAATGCTGTAATTATACTTTTATTTGTTTTGTTGCTGTCAACTTATATCTATTAGGAAGCATAATTAGAAAGACCAGTGGTTTTCTCATAGTATATATTTGAATGCATTAATCCACTTCAATCATTATGATATACATTCTGAAAGGAAATAAAGTATTGTCCTTTTAGTTTTTGCCCAAATTCCAATTAAAAGTTAAATAGATTTTTTTAAAAAAAAACCACATACAAAAGGGTACTGTTTCCACATATATATTTTTTTAATTTGATTTATATGCCGCCCTTCTCCGGAGACTCAGGGTGGCTTACAATGCGTTAAGCAATAGCCTTCATACTTTTCGTATATTTATACAAAGTCAGCTTATTGCCCCCACAAACTGGGTCCTCAATTTACCTACCTTAGAAAGGATGGAAAGCTGAGTCAACCTTGAGCCTGGTGAGATTCGAACTTACAGTAATTGCAGACAGCTGGTGTTAATCACAATGCTATCAGTCTGCTGAGCCACCAGGAGTTTTCAAACTCCTTTTTCAATAGTGTTCCTTCATGGAGAGGGGTCTTTTTTTAGTCCCTTCAAATCAGTTTTTTTTATTCCTGGCAACTTCCTGGTCAGTCACTTTCTTTCCAAGGTTTTTCAGAAGTGGTTTACCTTTTTCTGCTTCCTAGGAATGAGAGAGAGTGATTGGCTCAAGGTTAACCAGCTGGCTTTGTGCCGAAAGTGGGACTAGAACTCACATGTTCTTGGTTTTAGCCTTAGATATAGAATCAGATATAGAATAACAGAGTTGGAAGGGACCTTAGAGGTCTTCTAGTCGAACCCCCTGCTTAGGCAGAAAACTACATCACTTCAGACAAATGGTTATCTAATCTCTTCTTTAAAACTTCCAGTGTTGGAGCATTTACAACTTCTGGAGGCAAGTTGTTTCACTGATTAATTGTTCTAACTGTCAGGAAATTTCTCCTTAGTTCTAAGTTGCTTCTTTCCTTGATTAGTTTCCACCCATTTCTTCTTGTTCTACCCTCAGGTGCTTTGGAGAATAGTTTGACTCCCTCTTCTTTGTGGCAACCACTGAGATATCGGAACACTGCTATCATATCACCCCTAATCTTCCTTTTCATAAGACTAGACTTATCCAGTTCCAGCAACCGTTGTTTATATGCTTTATCCTTGAGTCCCCTAATCATCTTTATTGCTCTTCACTCTGCACTCTTTCTAGAGTCTTGACATCTTTTTTGCATTGTGGCGGCCAAAATTGGATGCAGTGTTCCAAGTGGGGCCTTACCAAGGCCTTAAACACCACACTGTACTGGCTCTTTTCTTCATGTATATTGACTCACAATAGTCAAGAAGATTTGGTGGGGAAGGATGCTTTTGTAATGGGAGCAAGGTGCAAAAGTCATAGTGCATTTCCATAATTATGTACACGCCTCTTTTGACTATGGCTGTATTAATGTTTTTTTTTTTTAAATTAGGTAATGTCTCGCTGGGAAGAGTATATGAGCAAAGTGAAAGTTAAAAGCAGCAAGCCTTCTGAAGTTGCTGATATCTGCAACTTTTTTCCTTTTCGTCAATATTTTGCAAATGCCCCTCAGCCAATTTTTAAAGGCAAATCTTACACTGAAGATATGGAAATTGCTGAAGGATGTTTTAGACATATTAAGAAAATATTTACTCAACTTGAGGTAAGATTAACAAAATAGGGTAATACTCTGACACTCATTCTTAGTTAAAAAAAAGTAACTATCCCTCAGTGTTATAATGGATGTATATAAGGTCCTTCAAATTAGATGTTATTGAGCAGTGACTACTCCCCCCCCCCCACCTTTGATAAAGGTAATGAACATAGTAAACTAAAAACACTAAATTTTCAACCCATGTAAAAGACAAAAACCTACCTACAACATCCCCACTATCTCCCAAATTTAAAGTACTTTGAGTGGGGTAAAGATTCTGTTTTTAATGGATATGCATGCTTGCTTAATACTAATTTTTAGGCAGTGTACTGTTCCTTTACCCTTGCCTGGAAGTTGAGTCATGGCAACTAGACTTCTTTTCTTGGTTTGAAACATTTTGCTCCTTATCCACGGGTTAAAGCCACCCTTAATAACCTACCTAGGTTAAAGGATTTAGGAGTTGGAACATTTACATCTCAGCAACTCTGCCTGCTCATCTAACAAGCCTCTCCAGATTAGGTGAGGAATGAAACTTCTCTGGAAGACTGAAGAAGCTACTTCGATAAGCAGCAAAATGTTTCAAACCAACAAGGAAAGAAGTCAACTTCCAGACCACTCTACTTGGATGACTGAAAATCTTCATTTAGACTTATGTAAGAATTTTTTTTTCAATGAAGGTGAACACATGTAACTGTTGCTGTGCAAAAAGATTCTAGATACCCTGTTTCTCCCAAAATAAGACATCCCCTGATAATAAGCCCAATCGGGCTTTTGAGTGCATGGCAATAAGGCCAAGTGCTTATTTCAGGGGTGAAAAAAATATAAGACAGGGTCTTATTTTCAGGGAAACATGGTATGATTCACCTTCCCAAATCTTTATATAAGGTAGAAAAGGAGAAGAATAACTAGGTTCCAAGTGAATGTGCAGAGGCAGTTTGTTATGATTGTGTCCTGGGGATCCCAGGAAGAAACGGGGGAGGCACTTCTCACTTTTCACGAAGTGCACGTGTATGCCGCTTGTGCAAATGAACCTGCGTGCACATGCACATTTGCTGGTTGCTCACACGGAACCATCCCCTCTCCCCCTCCCACCCGTCTGGAAAGCCAGAAAGCTTGGGGAACTCTGGTCTATAGGAATCCTGTGTAATGGTGTTACATGGGTATACTGTGATGCATTTGTAACTTCCTGTGCCATTGCATTCTGCCTCCATTGTAGCTTCTGTATGGCCTCCAAAGACAGCTCTATGTAGAGCGTGGATGTGCAGATAGAGCCCTAGCATCTATGTAGAGCCTGGATTATATTTGTTCTGTTTGATGACAATTTAACAGTTTATTGAAGACATTACTATTCTGATCTTTTTCATAGAATTTTAGTTATATATATTTTTTCTTTTTGTAGGAATTTAGAGCATTTGAACTGCTCCGTAGTGGGCTGGACAGATCAAAATATTTACTTGTGAAGGAAGCGAAGATTATTGCAATGACTTGTACTCATGCTGCATTGAAACGCCATGACTTAGTTGAGCTGGGATTTAAGGTAATACAGTAGCACATAAAAACTTCCTTAAATATGTTATCTTGAGTTTTTTTTAATCAGAAGTCAGTTATACTAAAGATTATCCCTATTTTTGTTTGCTCTTCCAAACGATGATTGTACCTGTGTAATTTTGTAGAGATTTTGTAAAGATTATGGCTATACAATATTTTATCTGCCTTTTGGTAAGCAAGTAACCATCATCTTAATTCAATTGCCTTTGCAGTATTTCTATTTCTGACTGGCTAATATATTTCATTTATCATTTCTCAGTATGATAATATCTTAATGGAAGAGGCTGCTCAGATATTGGAAATTGAAACTTTTATACCACTCCTTTTGCAGGTAAGCACTCAAGCATTACATCAATGTAATATTTAAATGACTTCTTTCTATTCAAACATCAAACTACTGAAATAATAGTTTATTAATTTGTAAAGGTAATACTAGACCAGGGATCACAAACTCGAGGCACTATGTAATTGGTGTGTAGACGTCAAAGCTAAGATACTAAATCAGTTCAATCATTTATAGTACAATCATAGTTTTTGATTAATCATCTATAATAATGCTAATGCTAGAATCTTATTTATATTTAACAGAACCCACAGGATGGGTTCAGCCGATTAAAGCGGTGGATAATGATTGGGGATCATCATCAGTTGCCACCAGTCATTAAAAACATGGCTTTTCAAAAATACTCAAACATGGAACAGTCTCTTTTTACACGGTTTGTTCGGGTCGGAGTGCCAACTATTGACTTGGATGCTCAAGGGAGAGCAAGAGCAAGGTAAGGCATGGGAAAAATTTAAATGAAAAGGTTGTGTAATGAAAAAAAGGTTAAGGTTAAGGTTACATTGCAGTTGGTTTGTAATTTTACTGAAATTAGTCCTTCCATTCTGAAATTCCATGTAGCTACTCCCTTTTTACACTGGTACATTGTTAAGCACTTCATGGATCTTCAAGAATGCATGTGGGGATGAAAGACGATTAAACTAACTCCATTAGTTAGTTGGGATCCCCAATCCCTGGGGTGCAGCCTGGTGCTGGGCTGTGGCCTGTTGGGGACCTGGCCACACAAGCGGCACGCCAATGCAGAAGTACATGAAGCTGAATTTGTGCAGGCAGCATGTGTGCTTGAAACCATCCTCTGAGCCCCGTGGCAGGCGGCAGTCCACAGAGCCAGAAAGGTTGGGGACTGCTGCATTAGAGAATGTTGTGATTATTATAATTTTGGTTTTTTGTTGCTTCATGTACGATACTCAGAACCATTTGGAACTCAAACACATTTTTCTATATTTTATATATTAAGGAATTTATTGAGTTTATTGAACTAATTTAAGAAGGCCAACAAGTCTTTTATGTTCAGATTCCATTCCATCAATTTAATGCTGTGTTAAATGGCTGATGCAGGTGATGCTTCATGCAACTTGAATATAACATTAAAGAACTAGTTCTAATCTTTGAGGGTCTTTTCAAACGATGAAAATGATTTTTCTTAATAGATAAAATATGTAAATACATCTACTTAGAATGTAGAGTTTACCTTCTTGAGATCCTGAAACATGCTTTGTCAGCTTGATGCTGTCCAAAAAGATAGCTATCATTGACATTTTAATATTATACCTCTTTCAGATAATTACAGACACTGAGAATAGTAAAATATTTTTATAAGAATTGAATTAATTACTACTTTCATTATGTTTTTCATAAAGCTTATGTAATCTCTATAATTGGCGATATAAGATACTGGGCAACTTGCCGCATGTACAGCTCTTACCTGAATTCAGAACAGCAAATGCTGGGTTTTTGTATGACTTCCAGCTTATAAATGTAGAGGATTTCCATGGCATAGGAGAATCTGAACCGAATCCTTATTTCTATCAGGTAAGAAATGCAGATCATCAGCTTGTATATTAACAACATTTTTCAGACAGATTAATTATGAAAACTGAAAGGCATAGAATGTATCTATGTACTTTATTATGGTGGGATTAAATATGTTTAACAAATTATATGTTATTAAGTTGCAAAAATAGCAATGCAATATTTATTTATTTGTTTGTTTGTTCGATTGATATGCCGCCCTTCTCTGGAGACTCAGGGCGGCTTACAATGCATTAAGCAATAGCCTTCATACTTTGTATATACCTGCTTAGTAGGGCTTTTTTTTTTTTTGCCCCTCCTGAGCAGTGTTCTATTTTATTTTAAAGTCAGCTTATTGCCCCCACAAACCGGGTCCTCATTTTACCTACCTCAAAAGGATGGAAGGCTGAGTCAACCTTGAGCCTGGTGAGAATTGAACTTGCAGTAATTGCAGGCAGCTGGCAACTAAGTGCTACTTTAACAGCAGTTTAGTCCGCTGCGCCACCATGGCTCCTCTTCACGCATACATAATAGAATATTAGTGTTCGGAAAATGTTATTTGAGATGATAAGATACGTGGTCAGTGTTACTTGGCTGGAATAAAGGTGGGATATAAGTTCAATAAATAACAAAGTGAATTTTTGCTAGAAGCTTCTATATTTCTTTTCAATATCTCAGGGTTTAAAATACCCTATAGTTTTCTCTCCTTTTGAAGATGGCACTAAGTCTTGCAAGTTGATGTCTGCATTATAATAATTACTGCCACTTGATATTTGTAAAGAGATCCAAATGATTGTTTGTTTATTTTATTTATGTATCAAATTTAGAAATTTCCCATCTCCCTTGCAGAATGCTTAGGGTAGGGTAGGGTAGGGTAGGGTAGGGTAGGGTAGGGTAGGATAGGATAGGATAGGATAGGATAGGATAGGATAGGATAATTTTAAACTAGTCTTTTTGGAGAATGTCAGTCTATTGCTGAAATGTGTACAGGTAGTCCTCGAAATACAACCACAATTGAGCACAAAATTTATGTTGCTAAATGAGACATTGTTAAGTGAGTTTTGCCCCATTTTACACCCTTTCTTGCCACAGTTGTTAAGTGAATCACGGCAGTTGTTAAGTTACTTTCATGGTTGTTTAAGTGAATCTGACTTTCTTGTCAGAAGTTTGCCAAAAGTGATCGCATGACCCTGGGATTCTGCAACTGTCATAAATATGAGTCAGTTGCCAAGTGTTTGAACTTTGATCATGTGAACATGGGAATGCTGCAGTGGTCATAAGTCACCTTTGGTTTTAAGTCAAGGACTACCTATATATCATTTGTGTAAAATAAGGAGATTACCAATCAGAATTTACAAGCAAGATAGAGGAATTTAAACTTAACTTTTTTCCTGGAAGGAGAGTAAACAATTGCCGTATTTTTCGGAGTATAAAACGCACCGGAGTATAAGACCACCATAGTTTTTGGGGAGGAAAATAGGGGGGAAAATTCTGTCTACAGGTATTTATTTGGTTAGCATCCTTAGTATGGTCAGCTTCAGCACATTAGTTCACTGGTTTTGAGTGCGTGAGCACTTCTAAAACAGTTTGTAAAGCACAGCCCTGAAGATCAATCACTTCACTTGTTATTGCCTCATGAGGGCTGAAAAAAAGCTTTGAAAAAACTACATTCGGAGTATAAGATGCACCCAAATTTTCAGCCTCTTTTGGGGGGGTGGGAGTGTGTCTTATATTCCAGAAAATATGGTATATTTACAATTAGGAGAACAAAACAGACTGGAATCTCAGGCTGTGTTTATTAAAGTAATTCCATGAGTAACTCTTTGCTTTTAATGGAGCAGAGTGGTTTCTTCTATGTTTATAGTCTTCTATGCATGCATAGAAATACCCTGTTTTTCCAATTGATAGATCAAGTCAGTTTGGCTCTACTTTAACAGAAAATAGACTTCTTTGCCTTTCCATGGCTGATCAGGGAGGATTAACATAGGCCTGGTGCATGTTGCTTCTTTTCAGTGAGCATTGGAGTGATGTTCCCTGACCATAATTACATGAATATTCTGTGATCTGATACATGAAACAGATTTGTACTTGGTTTTTTTTTTTAAATTCCAGAATCTTGGTGAGGCAGAATATGTTGTTGCACTGTTCATGTACATGTGCCTGCTAGGATACCCTGCAGAAAAGATAAGCATCTTGACAACTTACAATGGACAGAAACATCTGATTCGGGATATTATCAATCAGCGCTGTGGGAATAATCCATTGATTGGAAGACCAAATAAGGTAATATTCCAAATAACAATCAAATAATATACATCTCAACTTGCTCAAGTGCAGAGCAAGTAACCATTGTTAGAATGCATTCATCATATTGAATATTGCTTCTGAACTGCATACTTTGTAAAATAGAAGTCATTCATATGTTTCCCTATTTCCTGTCTTTCCTATTTAACTACTTTTAATTTAGCCTTCTAATTGGCCAACTGCATGAAGCAATAAATATTTATTATGGCATATTAGTTGTGTATACAAAAATTTTGTTCAGTTTTGTGTTACCAAAAGCATAGACTTCCATTTTAAAAGTAAATATTTTTACCAATTTGTTGAAAAACAGTAATTAAATCCTTAATAAGAATGTGAGAATTAGTTCTCAGTTAGTGAAAACCATGAAGGCAATTATGGTCACTGCAAAATAAAGAACAGATGGAAACTGACCCCCGACTCTCCTGGGAAAAGATGATTTTATTTGTATGCCAAATGACTGTGATGAATGGCTCACATGAAAAATCATTTTTTTTAAAAAAAATATGAAGCAAAATAAATAAAGAATATGGGACAGCAAATTTGACAGAAACTGTAATGGAATGGAACAAAGAAAGTGGCCCATACGATCCAAGGGAGTTGCACTCACCCTCAGTGTGGGATCATATGATACATTACAGAGTGAGGGAGTGCTTAGATTAAAAAGTATATACTTGTAATAAAAATGATATGTTTACAGCTGTTAGCTAGTCTTAATAAAGCAATAGTTGTCAGGCATAAAAAAAGTCAGGTCCATGTGTGAAGGTCCAATTAATCATGCCTATGCACAGGAATTTTCTCAACTAAAAGTTAGCACTTGCTTGGGGTTAGATATGGGTTAACAGAAATCAAGGAAGATTGGACTACTTTCGCTTGTGGCTGCGTAGGGATTCTAAATTAATCTTTCTTTTAACTCCATCCTGAGGTTCTGCCATTCCTCCTACAGTAGTTTTCTTTTGATACCATTAACTCCATAGACTGGTTTATTTAATTGTGTGTGGGGAGCAATTAATTAACTTACTCTATTTTTTTTTTTTTTTGCTAGGTGACAACTGTGGACAGGTTTCAAGGTCAGCAAAATGATTACATCATCCTTTCACTTGTGCGAACAAAAGCAGTTGGACACTTGAGGTAAGCAATAATATATCTCTGTACAGAGAACAACAGTGCAATCCTACCATAAGTGGAGTATGTACTAGTAGAGGTTTGGAGTATTTATGAGTAAAACGGACTATTTATGAGTAAAAACTCAATTGAATCCCATTTTATCTATCAATGAGCCACTGAAATAGGACATCTTACCTGTTTTCTGTCTTGTCCATACTTATATTTAACATATTCCATAAGTGCAACATTAACTCCAATTTTAAAGACTAATTATGAAATGAATGTTTTTAAACATATTTATTGCTGATTAAAGTTTCTAACACAGATGTATGTACCAGAACTGTTATCTTCAGTTTTAAAGGAAAAATGGGCATTAATTTAATTTGTATTAATTTTCACATTCAAAGGAAATAAGTTTCCTGCTTTAATTTTCAGGAGGGTTGTTTGTATGATCGTATTAGTGTTCAAGTGAAAAACTAAATATCATTGTTGGGTTTAAATAGTAGAGCTGTTTAATTTTTCCTTCCTGAAGGGATGTGCGGCGTTTGGTGGTTGCTATGTCAAGAGCCAGGCTTGGTCTGTATATATTTGCAAGAGTGTCACTATTCCAGAACTGCTTTGAGCTGACTCCAGCCTTCAGCCAGCTTACTGCTCGTCCTCTTCAACTGTATATAGTCCCTGAAGAGTATTTTCCAACTGCTCGTCAGGTACAACAAGCTACCTTGAATTCTGTTTAATGGTTAAATGGTTAAAAATATATCTATCATTTATATTGTATTCGTTCTTTTATCTTATTTAAGAAGTGGTTGTTTGTTGTTTTAGTGCCAAACTTTTCTATCATTTTCTTTCCTTCCTCAGAATGGAAAACATCCATCTCATCAAGTTCATATTATAAAGAATATGCCTCAGATGGCTAATTTTGTCTACAACATGTATATGCATATGATCCAAAGCACACAACACCACCGACAGGTAAAGAAATAAAAGTTGAGAAAAACATGTTTAATTTAAAAGCTCTGAGTGAAAACGTTGTTAATACTTTCTGATAACAAATGAACATAGTTAAAAATTAGTTGACTTGGTTGATTTTATTTTTAATAAGTCTTTTATGCTCTAGGTAACTTTGTAAACAGTATGAACTACCCTGTTTCCCCCAAAATAAGACATCCCCTGATAATAAGCCCAATTGGGCTTTTGAGCGCATAGCAATAAGGCCAAGCGCTTATTTCAGAGTTCAAAAAAATATAAGACAGGGTCTTATTTTTGGGGAAACACAGTAATTCTATCAATTTGGAGGATAGGGGACAGAGAAAATGATATATACAGTACTCTTGTGAGTCAGACAAAACTTGTAGCTGATTTTTGCTAGGGATTATAAAATTATATTTAACATACAGAAAGTTGACAAAGAGAAATTTTTTTAATCTTCTGTAGCAACAGTGATATTGGCAGACACCAAAATCAGTACAGAAGAAGGAATATCAACTCAAAATAAGATTAATCAATTCAATGGATTTAAACATGGCAGTCCAGTTAATTAAAAGTATCCTAAATTCACCTCATACCTGTAGTACAACTTGAGAGAAGAAGCCAGGTCTATAAATTAAGTTCATTTACATGTTGATAAACCATAGTTCAATTAACTTCTGAAAACAGCTTTTGCATGGGAAGTATAACATTTATAGATTAGCTGTTCATTTAAGGTACGTGTAAATAAAAATTGACAATGTATACTACATCCATTTGTTCTGAAACAAGCAATTAAAAACAAGCAAATAACAGACAGAATTTTGATATGGAGGGGAAAAAATAACAGTGTGATGTCTTTTTATGAAGTAATTATTTGTAGAAAATTGTTTGGCACCCACTAGAGTAGATTTATTAATATGACTGGGAACTCCTGTGACCAATTAATGTGAAGGGAAGCTCATGAAATCTTGCTCTTTATACTACTTGCAACTAGCTAAACATGTTTGTACATAGCTCATTCACACAGACTTGGAAGTATTGGAAGTGCATTTTCAACTGCACTATTAAAATGTTATTTTTAACTTCATGTTAGCTTTCTTACAAAAAGAACTGAATGACGCTAATCGTATATGGATAGAAGTACCAGCTGCATCACAGAAGGAATCTTAGTTTGTATCCGGCAGATAAAAATATATATTTAGCCAAATACAAAGGAATCCCTAATTTGAGGCTTAGATTTTCTGAATGTCTGTAATTAGTCTACCAAAAATATCATTTTTTTTATCACATAGCATGGAACCCAGATATAGCCATTTAATAATTTCTGAGTACTATTCTTCCAGCATACAGCATCAAAATTATATATGGCTGTTAGAAGCATCAGTTAAATATATAGTAAATTGTCTTAATCCCATTTTTAAATTCGAATGTAAACAAGAACTCCACTTGGAACTATGACGAAGAATATTTTTGGAGATGGGCATATCCTCTATTCCCATGGCTTTATATCAGAAAAATAAGACTGGAGAAATGTTCATAGTATTATTTAATGAAATTAGCCTGTTTTCATCTTGAGTCAACAGATATATTAAAGTTTTAATGGAATTTTTACTCCTTTCTATTAGGATCTAGTTAAATATTAGGTTTTTTTCCCACAAATAGCAATTCTCTTCTTCAGAATGCAGCAATAGCAAAAACTGGTTTAATTAAGTAGCATATAATAATTCACAAAATTTCACCATATTCAAATGCTTGCTTGCTTTAATCTTAGAGCATTCAAAAATTCTGTGGAATCAATTTAAACCTATAGAAAGCGATGTAATGTCTCTCACATATAAAACTGCAAATAAAAGAATTATCTGTTATGGATATTACATAAATTAAAAATTATTTATTTCATTTAAGTTTGTTATAGATGCCCACTCCAATAGATTCAATAAATTTAGACAAGTCATATGGAGTTATTTGTCAGAATCCTCATGTGACTTTGCAACCAATGTAGTTTATATTGATAGATTTTTCTTACTGGTATAGATCTGTATTATGTTGAAATTGTTCTTAAACAAAACACATCTTCTTTTTTTTGTAGGGTTTATTACCTCCTCCAGAACTTGTTGAAGAAAGTGAAATATCCAAACCTCAAGAAAATGAAGTTATCCAGAGTAAGAAATCTGAAATGGAAACAGGAACTGAAATCAAAGCTATGTCGGGGGATACTATAAAAGAGAACATTTTGAATGAGAAACCAAAGACAAGAGGAGAAGAAGAGGAGCATCGGAAAATGCCTGAACATCCTGGAAGAGATAGTGACAGTGAAGACAGTGAAACAGAACTTGATGCAGATAAATGAACATTGCCTTTTCAGGTCTGAAAAAAAGAATTAGCAAAAAATGACCATAGATACTATATGTATCCATTCCTTTAGTCGATCAGCTGCTGTAAATATTAATGATACTTCAGATTTCATTTTTTTGTACTATAAATATGAAACGAATCATTTATGTGGTCATAAACAAGGAACAGACACAATGGCATCACATTTTTATGTGTCTCCAATGTATTTAGTAAAACATTTTTAAATTATTGCTCTGAATCTTTTTTTGGTATTGAAAAACTTCTGGGAGATTTTAATCTATTTTTTAAAATATCACATAGTTAGTTGATATCAGAAGTAGTACTAAAAAACACCAGAGGTTCATGTTTTCACACATAGGCTCAAAGAGATCAAGCGTCTCTAAAGTGGTATTGGTTAAATGTGTTGGGATTTCCTCTTTCAGACTCATGCTGGCTGGGAAATTCAGCTGAGGCAGTACTGGAAAAAAATAGGTGTTTGGGAAAGAAGACAGGAATAGATCATGAGATACTTATTTTTATTTTGATGGTACCCCAGCATATTTCCTCAGAAAGTCTTTTTGTAAGGGAGATGGGCAGTTTCTAAATATAATAAATAAATAAAACAAATAAACAAACGTCATTCCAAAATAAAAGTAGGTATAAAATTAGTTAATAAAATAAAATAAAAACATTAACGTGAAATTTCAAAATTAAAAGTATAAAACATCTATAAAATTATTATCAATAATCTAAATGCTATAAATAATTAAGCTAGATAGGAGATAAATACATAATAAATACTGAACTATAAAACATTACAGCATTTTAAAAGTATCAATTGTAGCTTTACTAGGATTATTTCAACTATACTGGAGTGATAATGTGTTTTTTTAAAGAAAGGGAAGGATTATGAGATACTGAGTTATGCTGATCTAAACAAGGCTCAGGATTACCTTATTTGGATAAGGTTGTTATTATTAGATTATTATTATTATTATTACTATTACTATTATTACTATTATTAGATTTTGCCACTATAAAAATAAAACGTTTGTTTGCTAATTATAGAAGTTAAACTGCATGTTAAACTGGCTTTTTCATCTCTTTTCTTTGCTTATGTCATAAATAGATGGGTGGTATATTACCAGAGTAAGTGTTTTGGCACATAATTCTATGACTACAGTGCTCTAGGATAAATATGTTCCAAAGTTATAGATTTATATTTGGTGATAAAGTTGTCAACAGGACTATATCGCTAAACTACATAGATCAAAATAATAATTTCTGAAGTTATATTACATATTTCAAGTTTGTTAGCTTTACTAACAAGTATTGTGTATGAAACTTGTGCCTAAATAGAGATGTGACAGAAGATTTTGCTGCATTAATAGGGGATAAAGATCTCGTCTATTAATGAGAATCAGTTGTCTGACTAACTTACACAATAACATTATTTAGCAGTCTAAATCATAGAATTGTGTTAGCAAAGTAAAACAATTTTGTTCCTTAAGTGTTATAGTAAATAAAATAAGTCAGAGGTTTTAATTTGTCTCTGAGAAAGGCTTTATTATACAGAGCCATGAGACATGGTGATACAATAACATAAACTAACATTCATAATATGATGAATGGCAGAAAAACCTTCTGGCAACATGTGGCCAGCTCAGCTAGAGAACATCGGCTTTCTAACCTATTTTCTAAAAATATTCCAGTGTCTTAACTAATTTGTGCCTTTTAATAAAATAAACCCAAATACTGGCGGAAACAGATGCTAGTTGTTATATATATTAATCACAAATTTGAGGATATTTTAGCTAATTGGTTTTAATAAGATTGTCAGTAAGTACAATAAACAAGCTTACAGATTTTTTTTAATAAAATTTCTAATTCTATTGGCTCTGTCACTTACACATATTTAACAACTGGATATACCGAGGAACTTATCTAAGCTGATTTTGAAGTTAATGCTGAGGACACCAGCATTTATATTAGAATTTGACAAACTAATAGATTGGCATGAGCTATTAGGAATATAAAACATACTAGGAAATGTTTTATATGCTAGGAAATGAGAAATTCATTCACTTAATTTAGGAATGGGTGATGCCTGACTTCTCGCTACTGTTTTGGTATGTCTCACATTTGTGTTTTCTCAGTTGATGTAAAGAATGTCCATGGTTTTGGACCAAATTGAAGCAATTAGATTTCTGTCTACATGATATTCACACTGAGCAGTCTCCAGGTGAAAAGCTCTCTAATAATAAATGATTTCCCACTGCCCTCTTCACCAAAGATAAGGCCAAAAGGCCTACCCATATCAGCTCTAAATTCCTAGGCTAGAAAATAACAGTAGTCCTGTTATGCATCGTGAGGCGCTTCAGCATTCTGCTGCTTAAATCTGACATCTCTCTATTGTCAAAAGATCTATTTTTAGATTGATAGTCTGTGAACATGGAATGTTTAATTACAGTAAAGGGAAAAGCATGGATGATGGAGCAGGGTGCTACTTTCAAGTACTGTTCCAATAGCAAAAAAGTCCCTTGATTCACAGGGTGCTTCTTAAAAAGTTAATAGCAATAAACATTCTTGAATTTTAATTCCATATTGGCACATGATGCTAAGTCTATAAACAATTTTTAAATACCACATAACTCAGTGCCACCATTGTTAAAAGTTCCTAAGTGTCTATTTCACTATTATAAACAAGAAATTAAACTTAAAAATTAAGAGCACCTTTGGTTACTTGCACAATGTGCTAATCCATGATGACTAAATCCACCAATTTTCTGAGTTTGTGCAACACAGTCCTGAACAAATAAATTAGATTAAGATTGCATAACTTGTTACAACAAAATGTGATTAGTTAGATGATCACTCAATGCTTTGTGCAAATAAAGACAGTGGATAGGAAGCAAAACTAAGCTTAACTCAGTGGTGGCCTTAAAACACTTTTATCATCTTGTGTAAGTGAATGGTTCCCATTTCATCCTCAGGAAAATGTGGCATTTAAATTTAGATATTTATTTATTTATTAGATTTGTGTGCTTCCCATTTTGTTTAGAGATGACTATGGGTGGCTTACAAGGATTAAAAACCAGATCCTGACTTTATTATAGAAATGCACTGGATCCAACTGGCTTTCAAACAAGCCTAATGATGAGCTTTTTGCTAGTTCACAATAATGCTGACGTGTAACCAGGCTTCTGATTACTTTATATCAGACAGGACAAAGTAAATATAAACATATAAATACTTTTCAGGATTTAAAGTCGCACCCCTTATATGATGTTTATATCCAGAAAACATTTTTTATTATGTACATGACATAGTTGTCCTTTCTTACTGACTACCTAGATATTCTTCAGGATACCTTGTCCTTCAGGTCTTCCAATATTGCACCTATTGCCATGTAACGAATTCTACCTGCCTAATGACCAGTCATCCTAGTTTCTTTCCTTATACTTTTCCCATAGAGCTAGGCCTTTGTATAATATGTCCCACATATGATAACCTGAGTCCAATCATTTCTGCCTTGAATGAGAACTTTAGGTTGATTTTTTTAATTTGTTTGTATTCTTAGCTATTGGTGGTATTCTCATTCAAAAGGATCAATACTCTACTGTGCTTTCACTTCCATATAGTATCACAGGGAAAACTATTGCTTGCATGATTCTGATTTTTGTAGGTATAGACAGATCCCAGTAACAGAATACTTTTTTGAAGACCTTCATGGCTGCTCTACCAAGTCTGCAGTGTATTTTCTTGACTGTATTTCTTGACAGCTAGTTCTTTAATATTGATAGTTGTTCTTAAAAGAAAGAAACTATCCATCATTTTAGTATCTTCACTGTCCGCTCTAAGGCTAACCTGCTTGTCATTAGTTTGTCTTATTTGTAATTAATCTTAATCCCACTTCATTGTGCTTCTAGAAATTCAGATCATCTGCTTTTTTAGTTCTGTCTCTGAACTTGGGGATCTGGCTGTATGGCTGAGCTGTGTGATAGTTACCATATGTTGATCTGTTGTTGTCTTTTTCTTGGTGACTGATGTTCAGTGTTGTTTTTATTATTATATGTTGCATGGTCTTTTTGATCAGCCATTCAGAGTAATGAATTTGGGGTGGGCAGCCATACAAATTGAATAAATAAATAAAATAGTCAATTTGATTTCTGTGTGCTCCATTTGGTGATATCCATGCATATAGACATTATTTTGGTTGTTGGAAGTCTGTATTGCCTATTATTAATTAATATTTATGTCATATACACTATTTCATTTGATCTAGTAGTCCTTTCAGTTATGAAGAGACTAGCAAGCATAAATGGCTACATCTATAAGAAAAGCAGCTCAACTACTGCATTGTTATACCATTAGGGAGAATGTGTCCTGTAAGGATTAAACAGAAAGTCCTGAAGTTCCTCTTTGGTTATTATTCTCCATTCTATTCTGCTTTTCTGCTTTTATTTCAAAGTTTTTATTTGCTTACTTCAAATTAGCAGCCATGCTACATGCTGCTCATTCTGATACCGCACTCAAGATTGACTCTTGGACACACAAAAAGGCCACAGGGGAGTGAAAGTTAGAATCTCTACTTTAGCAATGACATATACTCACTGTTCTTTTTACATGGTTTGATGTTCTTTTCTGTTTTAGTCCTATAAACAGAAAATCAATAGAGTATGCATCAGTGTACTATGTAGAATTTGCACATGTATCATTCATAAAGGCTATTCTTGGAATGTCCTTCATGGTTTAATATCACAGGCTTTTTATTAATGTGTATATATGAGCACACACATACACACGGAGATGGCATCTAATTTAACTAAAGTTAACTTCTGGAGACACATAACATAGAAGATAAATGTGCATCTCATTAACTTTGAATTTTGTTAATACTGTTCTGTGAAAAGGTCCCAATCAGAGTTTCTGATTTCTTGCATAACTTTGCCATTGAATATTATCAGATCTTTGATGTGGGTTTTACTGGTATATAAAGAGAGTTTAAATAGATAACTCTAAGATTTTGGTGCTGCTTTCATTTATTTCATGAACAGTTATCCTAATCTGAAAGGGAAAAAAAATATAGAACTGTACGTCCAGTGTATACTATGCCTTCATCAATTTTCACAACTGCAAGGTCACAGTAGATTTCATTAGTAATTTTTGTGTCCTAAATGATTCCCTGCTCTTACAGCATTCACCCACTGGCATCCTGTTTGCTTAAATTATGCAAGAAAAGAAGGCAATGACAGCTGATGACAGCTGCTCTTTGAACCAGCTCCTCGACTAGTCTTATTATAGAGGCTTATAATTTTTAGATAAGTACATTACAGAATTATTAACAAGAAGACCCAAAGTATGCAGAGCTATTCTAGTGAGTTCATTTTTTAAACTCACCATTTCTATGGATTTTTTTAAAAAAAACTGATGGTTTCACTGGCATTGAAATTGAGATCAACCACGGTGCAGTGATTAAAATGTTAAGCTTAAGAAACTGCCAGACAGCTGCAAGAAGATGTTTTCATTGGTTTAGAAAGAAAGAAGAAATGCCAGTCCCAATTGCCTCCCCCTATTTGCTTATTTAATGTTTGAAACCACATGTCAACATAAAAGTATGCTGAATAACAAAGATGCATTGCTATTATTGCCTACAGTTATTACTCAGGGTAAATAATGAGCTATTATTTTATTCAGCTCCACATTTAGCCATTTTGTGGTGATATTTTTCAGCATCTTGTGGGTTTGTAGGGCAAGCTTTTGAGGTGAGAACCAACCAGGAGGACTATTATTTCACTTGGGCTGGGGCTACATGCATCTTCTAGACTGGATTTCATGATTCGATTTTAGTTGTTTCTCTGAATTTGGAGCAAAGGCAGCTATTTCATAGCAAGCCTCCTCCATATGAGAAAGAAGGAGCCAATAAGAGAATTAGGGTGCTAAACCAGGGATGGGGAAAGCCAGAATGCATCCTCCCCCCCTCCCTCCGACCCACATCCAGACAAAAGGCCGACTGATGAATTTGGGCCACCCACTGGTGCTCAACCCAACCTTCCACCCAGGATTGTTTTGCAGAGTAAAAAAGAGGAAGGAGAGAAAGAAAGAAAGACAAGGTGTGTGTGTGTGTGTGTGTGTGTGAGAGAGAGAGAGAGAGAGAGAGAGAGTTTATTGTATTGCATAGTAAAAACTTTCCCCCTCTTCCCCCTCTTTCTATTGATCAATGATAATTTGGTCAATGATTAGCAACATTTAATAGAACAAAACAAACAAAAAGAGAGTGAAGCAAACAAATACAATAATATACTAACAGCTAGCAAAATAAATCCCCGTTCTATAAATTCAACCACCCTAAATCCTGGATCTGATTATTCAGATGTAGGCCTCATGTATTTCAGTGGGGGGCTTTGTGTACAGCTCCCTCATCAGAGCCTTGCATTGGACTCCAGGGATTACAAATCTCTCTCTCTCAAACACACCCACACACCTCTTAAATCTGGATACGATTAAAACAAAAATATAAACAATTTACAAAAGTGAATGAAGCAGAATATAGAAATGTGATACAATCAAGACTTGGCCAGAAATAGAAAAATTAAAAAAAAATAAACCCTAAAATCTGTGTTTACACCCTATTTCTACTTTCATCTGAAGGAAGGAAGGAAGGAAGGAAGGCGGGTTGTCTGAGGTAATAAGATTAGTAAGATTTGTGAAGAGGCAGGCCCTCAAAACTAGTGATGAAAGAAGGCCCAACCAATCTGGCAAGGTCCAATATTTTCTGGAATTACTGCTGCCTTGTGCAAACTGTGAATTCCTTACCATTTGCTCATCATATTAAGCTCCCTAAAATTCCTGGTTATTTGTAACCAGGGATGGGCTGCTGGGGGTTCACAGGGGTTCGGGAGAACCTCTAGCTAAGATTCAGTGCAGTTTGGAGAACCCCCAAATCTCACTCCTGGCTGGCCCCGCCCACCCTGCCCCTCCCAGGAGTCCCCACATGGCCTGTTTTGGATTCAGGTAAGTGCAGGGCACGCACAGAGGCTCGAGGAGGGCAAAAAACGGGCCTACTGAAAATTCGGGAAGGCCGGAAATGGGCCTGTTTTGGGCCTCCAGAGGGCCTCTGGAACCCAGGGAGGGAAACCGCCCCCCCAATGTGGTGCAGGAGGCTGACTAGGCCATGCCCACCATGGCCACGCCCACCCAGCAACCGGGCAGAGACCCCCTTGCTAAAATGTTTGAAGCCCACTCCTGTTTGTAACCCCTCCTGTTATTAATAACTTCCTTTCCTAATGCTTTTAAAGGCATTATGGAGATAGGCCCCGCAACTTTGGCGCTTTTTTTGGTTTATGTGCAGTTGCATACTTTTAAAAGATTAATCCAGAAGAGACAAACAGGCAAATCATTAGTCCAGTTTGGCTTTGGAGGTGGGCAAGAATAAAAATAGCTAAATAAAGCAAGTCACTTCCTCCTGGGTGCACGTGAAATTGCATCTATTCTTTGCTGAACACAGATCCCAAAGATTTCCACTTTACTATAGTACACCTGCAAAAATGGTTATGTGCTTAAATTAGGATTAGAGAAAGAACGACAAGATTACAGGAGGCTGATCTAAGGAAATAGGATTTAGGAAAATGAAACAACCCAGATAGGAATCCAGAAGGAGGGCCCTTTGCAAAATGCTGTATATTTCTGTAGATAAAATACGGAATACTGTAATCCCTGCAGGGAGGTGTAAAAACTGTTCTTCCAGCAGCACTTTTATTATTTGGAGAACGGAAGTACCATTGTGATATATATCCTGAAATCATTTGATAAACTAGAGGGAATTTCCTAAGGCTGTGCTTGATAGGGGCTGCCCAAGAGGAGGAAAATTGTAGCCCCCTGTAATTGTTCTTCTATAACATTTCATGTGCATAAAGGAGGTTGTTTCTGTTTAAAAAGTTCTGATGAGTGTTCTCATGTCTTCTATTTTCATTTCTATCCTACTAAAATGCTTGAACCAGGGGTGGGTTCTACTTACCTTTACTACCTGTTTGCAACAGGGCCACGTGCATGCTCTTCTGCGCATGCGCAGAAGCTTCTGCGCATGTGCAGAAGCATTTTGGTGACTTCGGGGTCGGTGGGCAGAGTCTCCCGCCGGTTTTACTACCGGTTCTATAGAACCCGTGCGAACCAGGGGCAACCCACCACTGGCTTGAATTCTACTAGTAAGAATGAGTGTTGTCTACAATTGGGTACAACCAACATTTATGTCTGGTTTGAGTCTTACTATGCATTGGAGTTCCCATTTGGAACTGGAACTTGGGTTATCCTTTATTAGGCTAATATCCTGGCTGCCTTTCCTTATTTTATCCTTCTGTTATTGGCCTGTAAGTTGTGTTAAGAAAGAGTGACTGTGCCTTGGTGGCTAAAGGTGGATTGGAACTTGGATTTCTCTGCTTCTGGTCTGATACCTTCCTTGCTATAGCATGCTGACTTTTCTAGACAAGAATTATTACAGAAAATGCTTTGAAAATAGAGGATTTCCCATGCCCATTTATTTTTCCACTGGGTTGGAAGAAAGTAAAAGGTGACTCCCAGTAAAAACTTTTCTTAGTACAGATAGTCCTCAATTTACTACCATAATTGAGCCCAAAATTTCTGTGGTTCAGTGAGACATTTGTTAAATGAATTTTGCCCAGATTTACGACCTTCCTTGCCTCAGTTGTTAAGTGAATCACTGCAGTTGATATGTTACCCGGTTGTTAAGTGAATCTGGGTTCCCTGCTGACTTTGCTTGTCAGAAGGTCACAAAAGGGGATCAGCAACAGTCATAAGTATGAAGCAGTTGCCAAGCCTCTGAATTTTGATCACATGATCAGGGGGATGCTGGTAGGTCATAACTGCGAAAAACGGTCATAAGTCACTTTTTTCAGTGCCGTTGTAACTTTGGTCACTGAACAAACTGTTGTGAGGATTACCTGTATATGGGAGAAATAACTGATGGGACATGTGTGTGTGTCTGTACACACACGTGTATACACACATGTGCACACACACACACACACACACACACACCATCAATTATTTCTCCCAACCCAGAGGAAAAATAAATGGACATGGGAAATCCTCTATTTTCCTAACATTCACTGTAATAATTCTTGTCTAGAAAAGTCAGCAAAGTCACTTCTGTTTTTTAAAAATTTTGTTTTCAAGGGCCAATATGGGGGCGGGGAGTCATCTTTTATTTAAGTACCACCACCATCACTTTCATTTTGGCCCTTATATACAGAATATGCTTCTTTGAAAACAAAATTTAAAAAACAGAAGCGACTTTGTTCTTTCTGTTGCTTCAACACAGGATCTCATTCAACATGTGGTTTCTCTTATACATTTTCATTATCAGCTGACTTGCATGAGGAAAACAAAGTCATGATTGTAAGATACTTGTGGTGATATTTAGCTTGTGGGTGTGACATTAATTTATGCCTTATACTGTAGTGAATGCTTGGAAGAAATAAGATCTTCAGAAGGCTTATTCACCACAAGGTAAGCTCTGCTGCTCTGTTCCATTGGAATAATCAATGATAGAAGATATTTTCTTTCATTATTAGGGCCTATTAAGTTAATTCTACCATATAGTTTTGAGACCAATTTGTGGGATATAGTGCCTCAGATCCCATTACTCATCAGAAGCTGTAACGTCTGGAAATATCCATTTTATTCTAAAAACAATGAAAAATTGAAAACGAAAAACAAATGCATGTATTTTTCCAAAAGAGCCTTGTTCCACAGTTCTTTTTCTAGCAAATGATGAATTATGTAAGTGACAAAATATATGGAAATAGGATGTTGTAATAACCTGTTATTCTCAAAGCATGCATTTGAGTAATCCTAATGAGCTGTCATGCTAACTTGTTTGAGACAGTAAAATATAATTCTATACTTATTGCAATTATGTAGAAAATTTTTAGAGGAAAGAGGTTAGTTGGTACGGGGTTCATTTTATAGCAGAAATGAACCCCATACCAACAGAAACAGAAAATGTAAATTATAAAAGAGTTTCTTACACCAAATTTCAATGTCCTCTAAAGTTCATACTTCCTTAGATTAAATGTATTAGTCTTTTAGAAATGTTTGTAAAACTGTTTATTTCTTCTGGTTTTCACAGCCTGGTTAATATTGAAGAAATCATTAATTTTTTAAAGTGCTCCTATCTGTCAGATGTGATAACTTTTATAAATGGCAGCGAGACTAAATGTCTGGTCTTATTTGTTTATATTTTTTTCTTTTAAAGACCATAACGGGTTTTGTTTAAATGTGACCCAGTTGCCAAGCACCTAAATGTGACCCAGGAGAGGGGGTTAGAGCCATCAGAAATCTGGAACCTGGTCATAAGTCCTGGGGAGATGAGGCCCATCATAATTCTGAATGGTAACTAAGCAACTGTCGTTAAGCAAGGACTACTTGTAATGCAAGTAATAAAATGTCCATAGTACTGTAAATACACACACAAAACAAACATTAAAAAAATACAGCAATTAGAACTGCATGAGAATTATGAGTGATAGACAGTCGGGTCAGAAGATATTCCAGAACAATAAAATTTATACAGGTAGCCCTCAACTTACGATCACAATTGAGCCCAAAATTTATGTTGCTAAGTGAGAAATTTGTTAAATGAGTTTTGCCCCATTTTACGACTTTTCTTGTCACATTTGTTTAGTGAATCACTGCAGTTGTTAAATTAGCAAGTGAATCTGGTTTCCCCATTGACTTTGCTTGTCAGAAGATTGCAAAAGGTGATCACATGATCCCACGACACTGCAACCGTCATAAATGTGAGTCAGTTGTCAAGCATTTGAATATAAATCACGAGACCATGGGGATGCTCCACTGATCATACGTATGAAAAATGGTCATAAGTCACTTTTTTCAATGCCATTGTCATTTCGAACGGTCAATAAATGAACTGTTGTAATTGGAGGACTACTTGTATCAGCTTCAGGAAGGGCAGAAACTAGGGATGCAATTTAATATTTACAGGGAGGCTATTTCTGAGAATCAGCACTGTGATGACAAATCAGTGCTTTCTGGCCTCAATTCCCCCATCTTGTGGACCTAAGGGTATAACCCAGGGGCGGGTTCTACTTACTTTTACTACTGGTTCGCAACAAGGCTGTGCGCGTGCTTGCTTCGCTTGAGGCCACGCGTGCTCTTCTGTGCAAGCGCAGAAGCTTGTGCGCATGCGCAGAAGCCTTTTGATGATGTCAGGGTCAGTGGGCGGAGCCTCCCGCCGGTTTTACTACCGGTTCTATAGAACCAGTGCGAACCGGGAGCAACCCACCATTGGTATAACCAGAGGTTTAAGATAGGAGAACATCCTCAGATTGGAGAAGGAGATCCTGTAGATAGTTTGGTGTCAAGCCATATATGACTTTTTAAAAATCAATACTAGCATTTTGAATGGTACAAAAAAATTAATAATGGCTAATGAAGAGCCAACAAAACAGGGCTAATATGATCACAATAAAGAGTGCTAGTCAAATGCAGCTGCTGCATTTTAAACCAACAGCAGCTTCTAGATGGCCTTCGAAAGTAGCCACAAATTGAGTGACTTGTGGAAGTCTGCATGTAACTGGTCCTCTTACTCCAGGAAGGGGCACAACTGGCACATCAGCTCAAATTTAGCAAATGCCCTTCTAGCCATGGCACCCATCTGTCCATATAGCAATAGCCATGACTCCAGATGAGACTCCAAGACCAATAGACTTGCTCTTTCAGTGCCATCTTGTCAAGAAACAATACCAGAACCTATAAACAACTCTGACGTGCAAATTTCCTTCTTACTTAGTTTCAAGCTCATGTATTGTCCCATTCAAATTCCTCCAGCAATATATCTTCTTAGCCTTAGAATGCCAATATGAAACATAACATATTGATGGCATTGCGCTCTGTACCCTGGGTTAATGCATTGGAGGGCTTAATGCAGATAAATGTCACACAAGAGTGGCTGCTAGGCTAATCTCTTCTGCCCTATCACTGACTGGAACTGCTCTTTAAAGTAGGAGCAGAATCACTACTAAACAATACTTCCAACCCCACCCCGACTCCCAACATGCAGTTCAGAAGGAAAGCATGATTGATTAATTGATCAGATGCTGCTAAGAGATTTTATAAGACTAAGAGGGGTACATTATCCCTATCAAAGTCTGGACAGAGGTCATCTATGAGACTGAGCAATGCTGTCTCTATCACATGCCTGGCCCCGAACGTCACTAAAAAGAATCCAGATACATTGCTTTCTCTACAGTACTGGTTAATTAAATCCCTTATCACATGCTCAATAATTTTCCCCAAAAAGAGAAAACTCAAGACAAAATAGGTTTCAGATATTGCTGGATATGGTGGGAATCTCTTGAAACGGAAAAGCATTGTCGCCTCCTTTAAAACTATTGATATCTGCTTCCATTAAAAGAGGCATTAATTACCTAATTGTAAACTGCCAAATTGTTAAGAAACTTCTCAAGCACTTCGAGAAACTCTTTAAATCAATCAATAGTAGAAATGGACTTTTCTAATGGGTCCCATAGACCTTTGGAAGTCTCAGGCAGCAGTTAATCTCAGCTGCACCTGGAAATTAACTAACCATGGGAATGGGCTAGCTGTAATTCTGTCCATATTCAGATCATAGCATAATTGCTTTGAGGTAAAGCCAGGTCAAAGGACTAAATGCTGTTATGTAGCACTTAGCTGCCATCTGCCTGCAATTAGTGCGAGTTCAAATCTCACCAGGCTCAAGGTTGACTCTGCCTTCCATCTTTCTGAGGTAGGTAAATCGAGGACCCGGATTGTGGGGGCAATAAGCTGACTTTGTAGAAACACCGCTTATGGGGGGCCAAAAGCCCTAATAAGCAGGTATATACAAAAGAATGAAGGCTATTGCTATAAATGCATTGTAAGCTGTCCTGAGTCTTCAGAGGAGGGCGGCATATAAATTGAACTAATAAATAAATAAATAAATAAATAAATAAATAAATAAATAAATAAATAAAGGGACGACTATCTGCAGGTAGATCAAATATCACTGAGGGCAAACCCATAGTTGCTATTGAAGCCATGAACTTCCTGGATCTGACCTCTAGGAAATGGAGATTACTCATCTACAATCAAATCATGGATGAGTGTGGTCTTATTAGAGACAGAATTCCAGCAGGAGGCTAAGCCAAGGTCCCTAATGATCAAACCAGCAGGATTGGGACCACCAGACCAATTTGATTGCACCAAATTGCTGGTTTTCCTTCCCTTGGAATGGCCGAGTCAGGTAGGTTCCACAAGTTCATCTAAATGCTCAGCTCCAACTGATCTCACCTGGCAGTCTTTTCAAGTTCAATGTTCCTTTGTCCCTCAGCATATTGTGGCTGTTTTCCCGCTGCTATCACAGATGAACTTCAGTCTGATACACTCTCCACTCTTCTTTCATAGACCCCGGATTGCAGCAATAAATTCTCCACAAACCAGATCTTCTGACTGAATCCACAACCACTGTGGGTTCAACAACACAGACGCACAAGGATCAACTTCTCTGCTATTGTACTATCTCTATCTCTACCAAATTTAAAACTACATCCAAGCTCAAGGTAGGTCAACTTCAGTTTTGGCTTTCCTTTCCAACTGCTACAATTTCACTCTTCTACTTTTATCGTCCATCATTTTCTCAGCACATTTTGCTTTTCTCCCTTTATCATTGTCTCTATTCTATCAAACTTTTCTGTTCGCTTTGCTCTCAGTTCTTTTCACTATAGCAATACCTTAATTTGGTCATCCGAAACAACATATCTATAATTTACACAAAAATTTATTTGTTGCACAGATAGAATAAAGAAAAACCTTTCAATCCCAATTATACTCTTCCTTTCATTAATGCATTTAGAACCATCTTCAGTCTTATATAACTTACAGATTAGTAACTCTGCCCATAACATTTATTTAACATGCAACATATTAAAATGTGTGCCATTTTTCTGGCCTCTCTTTCTAAAGGTGACGAGAGAATTCATTCTTCAAAAAGTTCTAATTTTTACCTGTTGTCTATGAAATTACAGGGATGTTCTCAGCCAGATAAACATCAATTCCATTTCATGTTATATCTAGAATTGGTAGAATTTATTTATCCAGGTATTTCTTCATTTTATATCCCTGCCTTCTGAAACCTACAGTATATGAATCAGCCCTGATTTGAGTCAGCTTGGAGTTTTGAAGAGAACTGTTTTAGCAAACACATTAGCATCAGAAGTGAAACAAACCCACAGAGCTAGGCAAACCAAAAGAAAGTGGTACCCTGCCCCAGACTCTGAAGCAGTAAAATATTAGACCAAAACCAGCATTACTTTGGCATTTATTCACTCATTGACAAGTGATTTAACCTTGCCCTAACCATTCAGAATTTAAGAATAAAGTCATATCTCAGACTACTGGAATCAGAATTCAATTCTATTGGTAAATAAAGCCTATGGGAATATTGTCCTCCTACCTCAAGAGAACTTGGTTAGATAGACAATTGAATGAGGCATTAAAACAATTAGCTCTGTACTTATATCAGTGTTACAAAATCCATCACACCATTAAACATATCCCAAGCCTCTTCATACTTGGAAGTGAAATTGCAAGAATGTATATTGTCATTTGCTAACTACTACTAGCAAAACAGTTTAAGAGTAGAAACAATTAAAAAACAAGAAAAAGTGTCATAACCATTTGCACAGGTACAGACTGGGTGAAACTTGGCTCAATACCAGTAACTATGAGAGGGATCTTGGAATCTTAGTGGACAATCACTTAAATATGAGCCAATAATGTGCTGCACTGCAGCAGTCAAAAAAGCCAATGCAACCCTGGGCTGCATTAATAGAGGGACAGAATCAAGATAACATAAGTATTAGTACCGCTTTACAAAGTACAGTATTCAAAGACCACACTTGGAATACTGCATCCAATTTTGGTCACCACAATATAAAAAAGATGTTGAGATACTCAAAAGAGTGCAGAGAAGAGCAACAAACATGATTAGGGAGCTGGAGGCTAAAACTTATGAAGAACAATTGGAAGAAGTGGGTATGTCTAGTCTAGTGAAAAGAAGGACTAGGGGAGACATGATAGCAGTGTTCCAATATTTGAGTGGTTACCACAAATATTAGGGGGTCAACTTATTTTCCAAAACATCAGAAGGCAGGACAAGAAACAATGGATGGAAACTAATCAAGGAGAGAAACAACCTAGAATTTAGGAGAAATTTCCTAGTGGTGAGAACAATTAACTAGTGGAATGCCTTGCCCTCAGAAGTTATAGGTGCCCCATCGCTGGAGGCTTTTAAAAAGAGACTGGACAGCCACTTGTCTGAAATAGTATAAGATCTTCTGCTTGAGCAGGAGGATGGACTAGAAGACCTCCAAAGTCATTCCAACTCTGTTATTCTATGTTCTAAGCCAGGGGTGTCAAACTCGATTTCATTAAGGGCTGCATCAGGGTTGTGTTTGACCTTGGGGGGCCAAGTGGGTGTGGCTGGGGTGGGTGTGGCCAGGATGCTGAGGACCGTGCATGGCCCTCCCGGGCTCCGTTTTTGGCTGCAATGGCCTCCTGCAGTACTCTGCCAGTGAAAACGGAGCTCGGGAGGGCTGTGCAGCTCTGCCGAGCTTCATTTTTGCTAATAGAGGCACTGTGGTCCTTCAGATGCAGCCCATGGGCCTTGAGTTTGACATCCCTGTTTTACGTCATGCAGACTCTTCTACCTCCTAGCAGATCAGCAAGCAATTGGAAATGCCAATTTGTAAATACTTTAATGTTAATAGATATCATGAATAAAGCCAAATCTTTATCAGAGCTTATCAATTAATTTATCTAATTCTTTTGCTAGGTTCAAGATGAATGCGTCCTGTGTCATCTGGGGAATCTTTTGGCTGATTATACTCCTTTTTATTGGATGGCCAATTAGCATGTTTTTGGGAGGACTGTATGGATTCTTCGCTCCTTTGATCACTCTGATAGGTCTAGATGACTTTAGTGAACTTTTATTGAAGGGGGTAAATATGGGAAGAGAATGTGCTATGAATGTGCGAACAGGAAAGCCCCTCTTTTAATAATAAACCCTATTACAAATCAGGAAATAAAGATTCATTCTGTGATCTTTAATGGACATTGAAAGTATTTGTGTACATTCCTGTTTATAGTAAAATGATATTTAGGCTTTAAATAATACATTATTGATATTTTACAGTATTGTAAAGAAATATAGTGTCATTTCATTTGTAAGCTGTATGAAACCTGGGGAGTTCTGAATAAGAACTTCAAATATTTGTGAGATCTGGGTTTGAAGAGAACACCATGTTTGCAGCTCTGAAAACTTATGTATTAATACCTCTCCTTAGATACAGTGATGAAACTTGCATTCCTCTTAGGGGGGAAGTTGGCTTTTGGCTTCTTATTCTGCCTTATAAATTATCAAAAGTTCAAAGTCTAATTGTTTATTAGTTTCATTTCCAAACACAGTCAATGTATTAATCTGTATTATTATCACTAATGTTCATTATATATAAATTTTATATAAATATATGTATGGAAGTTCTTTTTAATGATTTATAGATATGTTATCGCTTATGATAAATAAAACATAACTTGACTGGAAGTTTCCACCTGGTTTTTTGTTTTTGTTTTTTACATTTTTGTTATGTATTTTTCTCCTAATATAAGAATTCCTGAATTTTGCTGTTACTTTTCTGAACCACAATTATAAATATTATGATGATCTTAAAACTAGAACCTAACTTTAGATAATAGTAAAGTATTTTTACTGTCACTTATCTGATATTTTAATAGAGATCAAAGTTCTCTGTCCCCTAATATGTATGTAAGTACTGTAATCCTTGCTACAATTTCAAACAATGAGAAAGTGTCATTGCCAGTGGTCCATGTTGAGAATAGAAATGATCTCTGTTTCCTCATTAGACTGTATATTCCAGAAACTGAACAGAATAATGCCTCCATATTGATTCTTTTGCGTTTGTGTGTGTTATATAATATCAGTATCATATTGTATCATTATCTGTGGCCTCCTCCTGAAACATTTAGCTATAAACTATTATTATACAGATCTGAGTGGCTGAGTGTTTTGAAGTATTAGTGGTGGGGGAGTATTGCTTGATTTTTAATAAGAATCATATTATTTGGCTGTTAAGATAATATACCGCAGGATGTTTTCATGATAGCTACCCTTCACATGATCATTCCCCATGATGCTAGACAAAAAAGGAGGAGGAGGAGGAGGAGGAGGAGGAGGAGGAGGAGGAGGAGGAGGAGGAGGAGGAGGAGAAGAAGAAGAAGAAGAAGAAGAAGAAGAAGAAGAAGAAGAAGAAGAAGAAGAAGAAGAAGAAGAAGAAGAAGAAGAAGAAGAAGAAGAAGAAGAAGAAGAAGAAGAAGAAGAAGAAGAAGAAGAAGAAGAAAACTCCCATTCTGGGCGGCACCAACTATAAGAGAGATGTTCTCTCTATTTCAGAAGCATATTGTTCACTAGGGAATTTGGTGTTGTGGTTAAGGCGCCAGGTTAGAGACCACAAGACTTTGAGTTCCAGTTGACTGAGCTTAAGTCACTTTCTTTCAGCCCAACTCACCTCACAGGATTGTTATTGTGGGGAAAATAGGAGGAAGGAGTATTTAAGTATGTTTACCACCTTGAATTATTTATAAAAAAATAAACATGGGAAATGAATGAATGAATGAATGAATGAATATTGTTTCTGCCTTGGTTGATATACATTTAGCTGTATTACAACTCACTTTTTCTTTTACAAGTGTTCCAGTTTTAGATGCTCTTTCAAACTTAAAAATAGAGCTAGTATTGGCTAGGTATCTGGCATTGATTCTTAATGCACATTTCAGGATCAATGTAGTTGTTTTTAAACATTGTCATTATTTCTAACAGGATGGCAATGGTTTTACCAGAATCAGCATGAATGGCCAATAGGGGAAAGAGCTGGAGGTAAAAAATTATCTCCTTTCTATTCCTATCACTTTTCACAAATGAGATAGAGATCATAATTTCTCTTTTAACCGCTATTTGACTATTTGTACGCACAATATTCACTTCTTTTGTTAACTGATTCGCAATGTAAGTCTAGTAGGTCACTGAAATTTATTTTCATTCATTTTCTCTCAGTAGTTTGGTAAGTTTGTAAACTATTTTAAGTTATGGTACAGCTGCAAAAAAATACATATATCTCTCTTTAGTAATTAAAAATTATGAAGCAAAATTTTTAAGGAAATTTAAAATGAAATGAATGTAAATTCTTGTGAGATTGGTTATATGTTGCCAGATAATTTTTATTATGGATTGACATTTTATTTATTTATTTAATGTGAATTTTCCTTATAAAATGATTCAAGTGCTAATAAAAAAGACCACTTAAAAATTGAAAGTGATCATAGAGTAAGAATCAATGCAGCCACACTTTTTCAAATATCTCTAGTGCTGATAAGTATAAATAAAAAAAGGGGATACAAGCAAATTAACAGAGGTTATAAAAATGTGTCGGCAATAAAGAAAGCACAAGTCTCAAACCATAATTCCTCGGAGATGATGTTAAACGATGGAAAGTATAAACATATAACGAACAATTTTATGACATAAGCACAAAAATAGGTAAAAATGTTGCTTCAACGTCACTGATTAAAATTAACTTTAAAAAAATTATATAAACCATATCTGATTCTGTTTATAATAAATGGCATCCAATGTTTCTGCTCTTTGTGTTCTGAAGAAAAAGGAATGAATTGCATCTAAAGGTACCAACATATAGTCTTGACAAAGTCACTAGAATTGGAATCTCCAATAATGTCCTTACAAATGTTAAAATGAAACCAAGAAATCTGAAATTAAATCTAATCCCTCAAAAAAAATTGTTACAATGTATTGGACTCTCCAAAGAATCCATTAGAAAAAATGGACATTTTTCTAAAGTTGGGGATATAAAAGGAATGAGGGTTCTTTGACCCAAATGATAAGGTCTTTGATAATTTGATATATTTGTATACTAAAATTGGATGCTGCTTGACTCCTAACAACTCTGGGAAGCTCACAACAATAATAAGTAGATTTATGGGCAAATTTTTAAATATTAAAAATAATAAAAACATAGTTCAAGATATTGAACTATATACCAAAGCTTTGGAATCTGACAGTCTATTAGAAATTATGGTTGTATTGAGCTTTGACAATGATTAAAATACCATAATGAATCATATTGAGAAATTGGAAATGTGATAGTATTCCGAATGTTAAAGAATTATTGCCAGAAATGTAAAATGTAGCGATTTTGCAAAAGGCAATACATTCTATCACTACTTATGACAGTAATATTTTGCAATAGTATTTTACACTAATTATATTATAGTATTACTGTTATTAGTAAACCAGTAGCTATTGATCCTTATAACGTATAAGATCCTTTTTCTTTTTCTTATTTTATTACTTAGTTTGTTAGAATTGTTTCTTCGTTCTTTTCTTTCTTAGTTCTATTCTTTTCTTCAAGTGAAGAAAATAATTTACAAGGGAGTTCTTGAATCATAAAATAGGGCTGTGTTAGTGTTTTTAGTTACTATATTCACTCCATGCACAAAGCCCATATACCAGTGATGGTTAACCTTTTTGGTGCTAAGTGCGCAAAGTGCGCGTGTGCACATACGAATGCACGTGACTGTGCCCAAGCCCCCAAAATGCAATGCGAGTGCCCCTCCTCATGGACCCCATGCATGCGCCCCCTGCACATGCACATGTGTTCCCTGCACATGTGCCCCCCCGTGCCCCATTTCGGCTTCCAGGTTGGTGCAAGAGGCCTGGAATTTTGGGCCTGGAAAGCCTCCTGCACCAACCTGGAAGCCAAAAGGGGATGGGGGGGCGCAGTGTGAGGGCCCCCCCGCACTCTATTTTGGGCCTGGAAAGCCTCCTGCACCAACCTGCACCCCCCACACATGCATCCCATCCCCCATGCATGCACATGCATGTTCCCTGCATGCACCCTTCCCCCTGCGCATGCGCGGCAGAGATCCAAAGACCAGCTGGCTGGTGGGAACCATGGGAACATGGGCAGTAGAGCTGAGCTGGGGCGACAGCTGGCATGCCTGCAAAGAGAGCTCTGTGTGCCACCTGTAGCATGCGTGCCATAGGTTTGCCATCATGGCCATATACCATTTGAAAGTTACATGAATTTTATTTATTTATTTATTTATTAGTTTAATTTATATGCCGCCTTTCTCCGAAGACTCAAGGCGGCTTATAAGCTTTCTCTTCTTCAAGAGAACTGTTTTTGTGGTTATCTAATTATAATCTAATTATAATTGTTATCAGAGCAGCGTGGTGGCCCATTGGTAAAGACACTTGCCTTCCACTTGGAAGGTTGGGAGTTCACGCCTAGGTAACAACAGATGTTTCTCTATCAGGATGTAAAGAAAAAAGATCTGCTATGAACTCCACATGGTGTCAGGAAAAGCATCTGGCCAGGTCCAGCAAGTCATCCCGATTCTACCCTGAATTAAGGGATTACAGGGTCATAAAAAGAGAGGGTTTTTTAATAATTATCATATAATAAATCAATAATTTATATTTTTAACAAGATAAATAATAAGGGATACTTAAATAACTGTAAAATATAGTTACCCATTCTTGAGAGCTGCCCTAATAAGCCTGAACGAAGATGTAGAGTGGCATTCTATATAGTCTTTCAGATTTCCCCATGTATGACATCATACTGGTTACTTAGAAACAACAAAGCTCTCAATAGTCTTTAAACATCAAGCCATTTTTATCAGGAGATGCATGGATTTTTTTTTAAACTCTTCTCTGCTGATGTCTTCAGATCACAGTGAACACCTGAAAATTATATTAGCCATTTTAACAGATAATTATAGGATTATAAATCTACAAGGTAAGTCATTTCCTTGAGGAGATGGAAAGTACACTGGAGAATATTGTAAGTGAATAAGTAGGGCAGAGTTATTTGCATATCAATTGTACTTTTATATGGAACAAAGGTGGCAACCATAGTCCACTTAATCCCATGAGGGTACATATCCCTATTTAGTTCTGCTTTTGGACTGCTCTAAACTCTTTGAAATTATAGCCTGAAATTTACTGTAATGCACATCTCAGAGAAGTCTGTACACATCAACGTAAAATATATCTCTGAGGCACTGAAGGAACATCATCCAATTTTTTTCACTTGCACATTTAATGTCTTTTAGCATGACTTGACAGCTTGATAAATAAGAGATCATTTATCTCATTGTAAGCCGCCCAGAGGTAGATACCAATGAGATGGGAGACATACATTTAAACAATTAATTAATTAATTAATTAATTAATTAATTAATTAATTGTTAAATATGTGTAACTTGTGAATGCATAGGAGCAATTTTGTTAATGGTACCCCTTATGTTAAAAATGTATATTAATATTCCAGTGATCCACCTATTTTGGTGTATTTTGAAAATTTGGATACTAATCTATTTCATTGGGAATTTGGCAGGCAATGATGAAGGGCCAACATTTTTGAAGTATAGACATTGTCATCATATTTTTTTTTTAAATAGCAGCAGCCCAAGGAGGTCCTACAGTGAAGGTATTATTGAAGAAGTTTTGCAATTTTGCTTTTGTTTTCCTGTTAAGTGTCTTATTTTCCCAAGATATTAACAAGCTCTTTATGCTACTCCATTTTTGTCTCCTCTTGCTTTCCCTTGTAATCTCAAAATATGTAGAAAATATCAGGCTGGCGGAAGTTAAAGCAGACAAAATATTAGTAATTGATGTCTTTAAAAGCCAAAACATATTGCTTACATACTTTTCAAACCTGTTTAATACTAATGTGGTTTGTATTCTGCGATCACTAATAGTGCATTTAAGAGGAGTCTGTTTGGAAAACCATGTCTGAAGCTGATGAAGAAGAAGGAGGAGAAGGAGGGGAAGAATATGAAGATGTAGGAGAAAAACCTCCAAAACCATCAGTTACTGAGGCACTTCTGCCTCCGCCTGAAAAAAAGGCAAGGTATAGGTTCTTCTTTTCTGTAAAAAAAATAATCTTTGTTTTGCTCATTATAATTCCTAAAAGGAAAGAAGGGTGGCTGTTCATTTAGCACAAACATGGAGAAAAACTACTCTGTAGCTCTAAATTCCCATAAACTCTGCAGACTCCTTCTGGAGGCTCTGCCTTTCTCCCAAAACTGGCACCATCCTAGAGGGATGAAATCATAATTTATTTTATTTTATTTATTTATTTTATTTGTCAAACATGTATAACAGATATAAGTATAAACATAATTATGATTACAGGGTATGGATATGAATAAATGAGGACACTAGGACAGGGATGGTAGACACATTGGTGCGCTTATGCACGCCCCTTATAGACCTCTTAGGAATGGGGTGAGGTCAACAGTAGACAGTCTAAGGTTAAAGTTATGGGGATTAGGGTATGAAACCACAGTTAGGTAGTGCATTCCAGGTGTTGACAACTCTGTTACTGAAGTTGTATTTTCGGCAATTGAATTTGGAGTGGTTTACCTTAAGTTTATATCTATTGTGTGCTTGTGTATTATTGCGGTTGAAGCTGAAGTAGTCATTGACAGGTAGGATGTTGTAGCAGCTAATTTTGTGTACTATGCTTAGGTCAGACCGAAGGCAGCATAGTTCTAAATTGTCTAAGGCCAAAATTTCAAGCCTGGTAGCATAAGGTATTCTGTTGTAAGCAGAGGAATGGAGTACTCTTCTCGTGAAATATCTCTGGACTCGCTCAATTGTATTAATGTCCAATATACAGTGTGGGTTCCAGACAGATGAGCTGCTTTCGAGAATTGGTCTAGCAAAGGTTTTGTATGCCCTAGTTTGCAGTACAATATTACCAGAGAAGAAGCTTCTCAAGATTAGGTTAATAATCCTTAATGCCTTTTTGGCAATGCTGTTACAGGGAGCTCTGACACTTAGATCATTTGAGATGAGTACTCCAAGTTCCTTGACAGAATGAGGGTCATCTACGAGGTCATATCCGCCCAGCTTGTATTTGATGTTCTAGGTTTTTTTGCCAATGTGTAAGACAGAGCATTTGTTGGTTGAGATTTGGAGTTGCCAATTTTTTTACCCTTCTGACACATAGTCAAGGTCTCTTTGTAGGGCAGCAGCATTGTCAGTGGTGTTGAATAGTTTTACATCATCAGCGAAGAGAACATAGTTGCTTATAATATGATTGCAAAGGTCATTTATGTAAAGTATAAAGAGTGTGGGTCCTAAAATGCTGCCTTGGGGGACACTGCTGTTAACAGATGCAGGGTTTGATAGAGTGCTCCCTATTTTGACTACTTGTTGCCTGTTTGACAGGAATGCAGCTATCCACTTTTGCAGGGATCTGGAAATGCCATAAGATTTTAGTTTTAAAAGTAGTTTGTCATGTACCACTGAATCAAAGGCTTTACAGAAGTCTATGTAAATTGCGTCTATTGCTCTACCCTGGTCGAGTTGTGTAGTTCATATGTTTTTGCAGTGTAGGAGTTGCAGATTACAGGACAATTTTTTCCTGAAACCAAACTGCTTGTTACAGAGTAGATTGTTTGTCTCTAAGTGGAGGGTAATGGATTGGTTTATGATTGATTCCATGACTTTGCAGGTGATGCAACACAATGAGATTGGTCTGTAATTTTCAACTAGGCTGGGGTCACCCTTTTTGAAGATAGAGATGACCGTGGCTAGTGACCATAGGTTGGGCAAGGAGCTGGTTCTGAAAGATATTTCATAGATTATGCTTAGAGGTTCTGCTATGGCAGTGGAAAGCTTTTTTAAGAAGTAGGCACATAATCCATCAATTTCCTAAGAGAATACAAATAAATATTTTTCTCTTTGTCCTCCTCCTCCTTCCCTTGAAACTGCTGGAGAAATGTGCTTGAAAATGCTTCTGATCAAAATGTTTTTGTTCCTTTATAGTGTCACCACCGGAACCCTGAGCTGCTGCTGCTTGCTGTGGAGTTTGGTCTGGTTAATGATATTAGTGGCTTTTGCTTGGCCCTTGAGTGTGGCTATGGCAGCCCTTTATGGATTTGTGTCACCTATGATTTCGCTGATAGGACTGGATGATATCAGTGAATCTATGCTGCAAGCAGTACACGTGGGAAGAGAGTGTGCTAAAAACGTCAGAACTGGCAGGGCCATGGTCTGAAGAAGAAATGTCAGAGTCGCTCCCATCCCATCCATTTACAAGTGTCCTTGCTTTTCATGTTTTCATCACTATCATTGATTTCTACATCTTCACTGCAACATTTATATTAAAAAAGGACTTTATTTCAGTCTAAAAGAGTTTTCATGCTATTTTACCTGACTTAACCAGTTTGGTTTCCAGTGTACACATAAATTAAGAGTCAAGCAGGGGGGCTCATCTTGCTTCATGGCATCTCCTTTCTGAGATTTCCTCCAGCAGTTCTTCCGATGTTTAGTGAACTCCTGGAATTTCTGAAACAGCTTTGTCTAGATGTGCATTGTAGGTACGGTGATTTTGCAAATGTGAGATTGAGGCTGCAAGGCAATGTCAAGCATGTCATTGAGCAAATTCAAGCAATCTTGTAGAGGCCTGATAATATTGTATACCAATATTTGATTGTATGTGAAATAAATTATTTTTCACTTGTATTTATTTTTGTTATTTTTGAAAAGTTTTTCTTTTTACTGTGTAAAATGTTAAATAATATAGAGCCGTGACTGTATCTTCTTCCTGTCTTTTGTCCTTGCGAGCAGTATTTGTTTGTGTGTATCCTGCCTTCATTATTTTTACAAATAACTCAGCACACCTTCCTCTTATTTTCCCCACAACAATTCTGTGAGGTGAGCTGGGCTGAGACAGACTGGCCCAAGGTTACCCTGCTGACTTTCATGGTTAATATGGGACCAGAACTCATAGTCTCCCATTTGGTTTCTATTAGTCTCTTAGTTGGTATTACTGGAAAGATCAGTGATAGGAAGGATTTGGGATAGGATCAGAAATGAATATTACCGCTTTTTAAACACAGTTTTTAAATTGGTCAAAATGAACAAAGAGGCACATTCACATCCTGGAGACTAGAATGGAACTAGTCTGGTGATGGACAGTTCATTGTCAAAACCTCTGACTTTCTCCAGAATTTCTTTGGCCAATGTACAGAAAGTGATCAGAGAGACTGGTGAAGAAAGAGGTAAGGGGTGGAGGAGTTATTTAAATTGTACTCCTGGAAGATTAGTGGAGGTTTTTGAAAATACTGTGGAAGGGATCCAAGCACCTGACTCAAAAGAAAAAAAATTGAGCATTGCTCATGCAGGCTCAGAGTAAAGTTTGCAAGAGATTCTAAGATCTCTTCATATGGGATTTTGCAGCCATAAATAACCAGCTACTATGCTTTAGAGATTTGGAATGTGTAAGCTTCTGTAGGGATATGTAGAAGCTGTCTTGCAGAGGTTCAGGGTGAGATTGCATAGTTTTAGTATAGATATGTTGGACAGTTTGTTTTGCAACAAGATAGAGAAAGGCATACTTGCTGCCAGTAGCAATATTTTCTTATTTAAAAAATAGAGGGAAACAAATACATTCACACTAGATTTATTAAAAAAGTTCTATTAGTAGTACAGGTAGTGCTCAATTTATGACCACAATTGATCTTAAAATTATGTTGCTAAGTAAATAATTTGTTAAGTGAGATTTGCCCCATTATATGATTTT